CTTGAGGTAGTTGCTCGCGTCAACTCCACCAGGGAGGGAGAATGGAGAAATCTTGTTAGGTTGAGGCACTTGGCACAAGGCTTGCAACTGCACGATAACTGAATTTAACATAAAAGGTCTACAATTCCCACAAATTTATTCTCGTTTATTTTAACCATCGTTTTTTATATATTTGATTACTTTTGGGATATAAAGTTTCTGTGTATCTTAAAGATAAATGGTATCTTTGTTGAACACTTGTTGGAGGGTATATTTTGACCTGTAGTTGCATAATGACTAATATCTGGGAAGTGCAATGTTGTGTTTACATTGATGAAGGTTTAAGAGGCTACAGATGTGCCGACACGGGTGAATCAGGTTCCCTTGTAGACATACGGGGTTCCCTACGGTTCAACCGTAGACGTCTTCAAGAGAAAACTAGATTGTTTTCTTCAAGGAGTGCCGGACCAACCGGGCTGTGATGGGTATGTGGGCCTGCGGGCCGCTCCAAGCAACAGCCTGGTGGACCAAACTCTCACCAGTCAAGCCTGGCCTCGGGCCGGGCTTGGGGAGTAGAAGAACCCCCAGAACCCCATCAACCAGGTGGGCAGCCAGACGGTTGTCAACTTTCCCTGGTTACTAAAAGGACCACGGAATTGTCAGTGTACCTTCGTACTGTGTACTGTGTGCTGAGCGCCCATTTAAACTGTCAGTTCTTACTATGCGGCTGCTATCGCGGGGGAGGATACTGCTTGACAGTATTTGTGAGGGTCTCCAGCTGCTGGACACCTTTTTTTATCAGAAGAGTGGCGGTGTTGATGGCTTCAGGGTGGTTACTGCTAGTTTCAGGGACTCTTAAACCTCCCCTAAGATCGTTGGTTGCTTCACATTCCAGGAGAGTGTGAAGTAGTAGCTTTTCTGTGATTGCTTGCCAGAAGATGCATTCCCACTCTCTGGGTTCACCAATTTCCCAGATGCATCTGCAACCTAGACGGAGTTTATATAACCGATCTGCTATTTCCCTGTGGATTCCTTTCAGGATATTAAACCTGTCTAACTTGGTGGCTTGAAGATACCATATTGCAGAGGGCGAACCTTCAGCTACTCTCTGGTGTAGATGGGCTGTGTTGAAGTGTGCGAGATTTTTGTGATTTATTTATTTATTTATTTTATTTATTTATATACAATAAGATACATTGGGGGTTAAGAGAATATTGAAAATAAGTTGAATTAACATTCTTGTAAAGCCACTATCACGCATAGCGTTTCAGGCAAAAAATATGATTTTTTTGATTGATTTATATATTGTGTTGTGTTATATGTGGTTTATACATTTCTTTCCACCGCTTCTTTCCTAATATTTGAAGTGCAGTTTTTGAGTATGTGTGTGTGATTGCAATTTGAGTGTTTTGTGCAGTCACGTATGCGAATGCCTTTTGTATGGCAAACAGCTCAGTTTGGGTTGATGATTTTGGTCCTGCCAGTCTCATGTTTGCCTGTTCGCCGTCCGTGCAAAAAACAGCGTCAGCATTCTCATATTGTGTGTCTACCGATCCGTCTGCCAACATGTGGGTGGCTCCTGCTACTGCAATCACCTTTGTAAATGTACATTAATGACACTATGTAAAAGACACATCGAACACTTTATGTAGGGCATACGTAAATCTGTGTATCTATGTATTTACGTATGTAGCTTAGCTTAGCATTTTAAAAGCACCGAATCACCTTCTGTGGTTGAGTGTTCAATAAACCCTTGAACTATATGTTTAACACATCTCTAACCCTGTCCATGGAGGACAGAAGAAAATGTATATATGCTGGTTAGCATTGTAAATGTGTGGCCACGTCTGTGGTAGAAAATAATAAAAAAAAAAAAAAAAAAATCTGCAATGCTGCTCATTTGGTTGGTTCTATGATGCGCCTTGGGATTGTTGGATCATAGGCCTCGTAGCCTGGTGGATAGCGCGCAGGACTCGTAATTCTGTGGCGCGGGTTCGATTCCCGCACGAGGCAGAAACAAATGGGCAAAGTTTCTTTCACCCTGAATGCCCCTGTTACCTAGCAGTAAATAGGTACCTGGGAGTTAGTCAGCTGTCACGGGCTGCTTCCTGGGGGTGGAGGCCTGGTCGAGGACCGGGGCGCGGGGACACTAAAGCCCCGAAATCATCTCAAGATAACCTCAAGAAGATAGGCAGCCTTTTTCATGGGTAGTAATAGGAAACCTATTACTATTTTGAATGTGGCCCCCCTTCCACGGGGGACAATTTTTAATTTGAGTGTCAATCGCTATCTTTATCAAGAATTATGCTTTTTAATTGTAGTTTGTTTAGGACTTCTCCCGCTCTGGCAGCCTATGAGTTTTCCATATTTTGGCTTAGTCCAGTCACCAGTTAGGGAGCCGGTCGGCCGAGCGGACAGCACACTGGACTTGTGATCCTGTAGTCCTGGGTTCGATCCCAGGCGCCGGCGAGAAACAATGGGCAAAGTTTCTTTCACCCTATGCCCCTGTTACCTAGCAGTA